GAGCCCCCCCGGCTGCGGGCGAGGAGCTGTCGGGTGAGCGGGGGGGGCGGGCAGGGGGGTGGGGTGGGAAAGGGGGGGAAAGAGGGGAGAAAAGAGGGGGTGGGAGCCCGAAAAGTGAGGGCGGGGGGCTCTGTGGATTGTGGGGTCGGTGGGAAAGGGGTGGGAGAGGGGGGCAAGGGGGTGTGGGAGAGCAGGCAGAGGGGTGCCCTGGGGGTCCCTGGGTGTCCCTTGAGCCCTGGAGCGGTTCTCTGGGGCTCTGGGGGGGGTCGGATCCGCATTGGGGGGGTCCCCAACCCCCCTGTCCATCCCCGGGGGGCTGATGGGGGGGTTCCCCCCCAGCCAAGAGCCGGTGCTGGGGCGTCCGTGGGACAGAGGGGGGTGGGAAAGGGGGGTCCGGGGTGGCCCCCTGAGCTCCCACCCTGCTCTGGGGGGCTGGGGGATGATGGGTGGGAACGGGGCACCCCCTGACCCGTGTCCTGCACACACAGGGGTGTTCCAGGAGTTGACTACGAGCGAGTGTCACTTCATCAACGGCACCGAGCGGGTGAGGTTCTTCGAGACATTCGTCTACAACCGGGAGCAATACGTGCACTTCGACAGCGATGTGGGGGTCTATGTGGGGGACACCCCGGACGGGGAGGAGGTTGCCAAGTACTGGAACAGCAACATGGAATGGATGGAGCACAAACGGTCTGCGGTGGACCTCTGCCGGCACAACTACGAGGTGTCCACCCCGTTCATTGTGAACCGCAGAGGTGAGCGTGGGGCAGAGCAGGTCCTCTCGGCCCCTGCTCCAGGAATGACCCTGGAGCCCCTCAAACCCTCCCTGGGAATCACCCCAGACCCCTCAGCCCTCCCTGTGCCCATCCCCGTGCCCTTTGGCCCCCTCCCAGTTTCCCCCAGTCCATCCCAGCCCCTCCCAGTCCTTCCAATGCCCCCTACTCTCTCCTAGTCCATTCCAGTTTTTCGAAGTCCATCCCAGTCCATCCCAGTCTCTCCCAGTGCCCCCCCGCGTCT